AAACTACCCACTCAATATCATTTTCTCTTTATGATATAAGCTAATGGAATCAAAATTTAGTGTAGACGTTATCTCAGATGTATAATGTCTAAGTGACTTCTGCAAAAGTGACTAACGCCTCTTATCTTGGAAAGTAGAACAACAACTCTTGTGAAATCATTTCACAACTTAAGAAAAGTGATAAAGATCAAGAGAGCAAATAAAAAGTAACTCCCTATTGTGGAAGTAATTTAATAAAAGAGCCATTCATAAATACAAGTACTTAACAGTTGCAACTGAAATTGACTGATTTTATGTAGATTTTGAAAATGGGAACTTATCTGTACACAGTTTGCAAATGTCCAGATGTCTAGTGCCCTATCAGCTTTAAGACCATAGATATTAAGAGTTTTCTAAGTCCACTGAGCAGTTTGATGTCATACTGGAAGCATACTGGGACACTGCACACCAGTTAAACCACATCTTATAGAACTTCTGCGGCTAAAGGGACTTCAATTAACCAAAGTTTAGTCAAGGGAACAATAACCCAACAATAGCTAGGCCTGTGAGGGAACAAGGCAGGAAGTCACATGAGAAGCTGTTGAAGGAACCAGGAATGTTTACTCTCACGGGGAAGCCCAGACAGCACATGACAGCTAGAGATTTATGGAAAGGGACATGTCTTACTTGGATCCACATTCTCTTTATTAGAGGGACAGTTTAAGCATAGGTTTGGAGACTACCCGCAAGGATCCTGAGAAGGGATTCCTGAATTGAATGAGGGTGAAAGCGGAACAGGCAGACTAGATAATTCTAAACCTGAGGGTTAAGATCAGAAGTCCCTAAGAGCCAGCCAGGCAGCTTATGGGAGTTAAACAGATCTGTGTGCCAGAGAAGACAATGGTGGAACCTTGACGAATGGGACTGTCTAAAAGGAACTTGCACCATTCTTCAGCTGATAGCTGTCAGTAGGAACGAGAGCTCCATGTTACCAGATCTTTCCGGTTATTTTTCAATAAAAACTGGAAAACTATATTTGTATGTAAAATCTATTGATTTATAAAAGATAGCAGCTAATTCAACATTTCAAAACATATAACTCAAGCAGAATAGATCAGTGGTCTCCAGGAGGGACTCAAACCTCTTTTGTAAAGATGCTTCAACCACCCTCAGCCCTAAGAGACAAGAATGGTAAACATGGCAGAAAAAAAGCCATCTAGGTCTCTGAATTACTGTCGCATTTTGTCTGAAATTTGAATTGCCAGAGTGGCTGCTTCAAGCTGAAATTCAGACACACTGACCAATAAATAATGAATGGGGTCTGGCAAATGAGGATAACCAAGAGATCATTAAGTTGCTAAGAGCTGGCTCTTCCCCCGCACACCATGTAAGGAAGCACCTCTTTTTCTTGTAAACAGAAATATTTCCATCTACTGAGTTGCACATCGAAAGGAGGCAGCAGAGAGAGACAGGGTTGTCTTAGCGTGGCAGTTAATTGTCCTGTTGCTGAGGTCATCCTTACCCTTGTTGGTAAGCAGTATTGACGCTTTTCTTTGGTTTCCTAAAATCTAGTCAGTGACTAACTAGGGAATGTTCACCAGTTTCCTTTGAGGGAGAATGCTTCACTAAGAGAATCCTATTCAACTCTGGTTCGCAGCCATCTCCAGAAATTTATATGCTGCCACGTATAGGTTTTCAGTTACCAAAAGACCTTTGCCCAACAGATATCTGTGCACAGGCGTATCCAGAACAAAGGCAAAGCTTCTAACTCTTTCTGTATTTTTTCCAATTCCCAACTTCAAAAACTCTATTTTGAATTTTACCTGCACTCTCAACTTCCAAAAGTAAGCTAGCTATCAGTTGAGCATTAATATCACAGCATTTTGTGATGGGATGTTTTATAGGTAGCTCTTAGTCAAGGGTTCCCAGCACTCTGAACAGAGCAGAACATTTTTAATAGACAATGTTATATTTATTGAAAAGAATAAGATAAATAAAAGGACATTAAAATTTATTTTAAAAATTTTGAAAATGATACACAGGGAATTCAAAGTAACACAACATTAGCAAGTAATGATACTAATAAAATCTTACATTAACTTTAACGGGATATGCATTAGCTTATTTGTTTTTACAAGATGTAGCAATTACCTAGAAGGAAAATTTGGGAAAGAAATATTTACTTCCCACTCTACCTCCAAAAATAGCTTCTGCCCACCTACTGCTTCTAACTTCGACTAGATCACTACCAGTAAACTGGGAGCTGGTCTTCTTACCTCTCCTCTCTCCCCCTATCATCATCCACTCTTTATACAGCACTCAGAGTTACCCCTGAAAAAATATAGCTCTATCTTGTCACACTTTTGCTTTTGGCTTCTCACTGCACTTAAAGCCCCGGCAGCTTACTTTAGCCTAGGAGCCTCTGCACGACCTGGCTCCTGCCCCTCAACCTCACTCCTGGGTTCTCCTTCTCTCTCACTTTACTCTAGCCACATTTACTCGCCTTCCAACTGTGCCTGAAACATGCTGACCTTGTTCCCAGGACTGTGCACGCGTGGTTCTAACGGAACTGCCTGCCTGTCTTCCAGGGGGTCTTCTGAAGGTCATCTCTCAGAAAAGCCTCTCCTCTAATCCGACCCAACAATCCAGGCCCCTCCCACCTCTCGCCCTCCCCCGGCCCCCTCCCACACCATGATACTCTACCACAGGGAACTCTGTTTACTTTTTTTCAAGTACTTGGCTATCTGAATTTACGTTGCTCATCCCTCAATTCTAGAATGTGAACTCCATGAGATCAGAGCCCTATTTGTCTTAATTACACTGCTCTATACTCAGTGCCTGGCACATAGTAGGTGCTCAATAAACATTTCTTCAAGTCAGTGAAGGAATGAACAAAGCTTATACTAGGAATCAACTAGCCCACTAGATGCAATAAGTATCTATTCCTATAATAGACTTTTCTTTGTCTTCAACTGCTAAGATTATTTTTTTTAAAAAAACCATAAACCTATATATATATTAGACTTTCTATTAGTGTGCTATACCTGGAAAATGGAGCAAAATGATAGACAGGGTACATAGCAGGTACCCTGCCTTTACTGAGAAAGGCAGTCAGAACCCACTGTCCATCCCTTCAAACCAAAAAGCTTCCACAGAATTCCAGAACAATATGATTTTTGAGCTCAATGTTCCCCTTTTGATTTCTTGTCACTCAATACTTTTTCTTCAATGCTTCACTTTTATGGAAATTTCTCAATGTCTCAAGATATCAGTGGGAACAATTACCAAGGGTGTTACAAAAAAAAAAAAAAATGAGGCTTAAGATCAACCAAGGTGTAAATAACCTTTTCCAGAAAATACCCATTTTCTGGGGTGTCAGAGAAAGGAATACTGATGCCTAAACTTCAGGAGACTTTCCAAGGGGTCCCACTCCAGTTGCTCGGGTACCTAGTCAGCACTTTCCATAATGCTCTGTGCTGAGAGCCTCAGGAGGATGGGAAATGGTGTCAGTGCCCAAACCTAACTGGGTGAGGGAATGGGTGTTCCTCACCCCTGAAGTGCACAGGGCACAACGCACAGACATAAAACTGAAGGAAATGAGGAACCAGCTGCCCAAGGCTTCTGTTTTCAGGAAACAGCTGGGGTTCTGGGCAAGCCCTTTCACATTTCAAAAGGGATTTCTCAAGGGTCAAATGAGTGGCTGAGCCAGATTAACATCCTTTTTGACTCTTGGTAGCTCTACACACTAACAGCCTTAGGGGTAGATAGTCTGTGGTGACAGACTGTGGTGTTAGCCTTGAGGACAAAGGGCCCATTTCATTGAAGAGCATCACCAAGCTGTCCACAGCAGCGACTCCTGCACAAATGTCTGGGAACAGAGAACCCTCTGTGCCCAAGGGCACTGAGTGGAGGCAGGCAGGCTGGAAGCTGCCAAGGCAGTGGGCTCTCTCCCCAGGACAACCAGCACTCCCTCTGAGGAAAGGAATCTCTCCGGGTCTTGGCAGCTCAGCAGTGCCTCCTGGCGTCCAGGAAACCATCTCCTTCTTATGGATCAGGCCAACACTAAATGCTCTGATCCCTGAGCTCACTGTTAGCCCAAAAGTTAGTCCTGAGCCTTTTTGGGATCGTCAGCACTTTAAAGGGCACATTTTCCAGTTCTTACGCACATGCCAGTCTCCCAGCTCAGCATTCTTACTCGTGTCAAAGGCAATTTGTGCAAGACTGATTTGTTAACATGTGTCCCTCCCAAACCTGAATTTATGTATCCTTCAAAGGTGGCAAGCTCCCCTGATGAACCCCCCACACTTCTCCCTCCTCCTTCCGCATCACCTCTTCAGCAACTCCAGGAACCGCCGGCCGATTGAAAGCCTGACCTTTTCGTGTTGGGAGACAAAAACTTCGCACAGAAGCTCCAGGGGATGATGGGGAGGAACCTATTCTCTGCTTCCAGGTTTTGTTTGACTTTAAAAACAAGCCCCTCCTCCTGCCGGTTGGGGAGGGGTGGGTGGGTTGGCAGCCGCTCTCTAACCTAGAGAGTGCGGGGCTGTAAGGAGTAATGGAGCGGAGCTGGGGCGGCATGGTTTGGTTTATGTAATTCCGGTCCAGAAACAGCTCCTCAGAACTGGGTTGATAGAAAAGCAATACTCACAAAAGGGAAGGTTTGGTTTTGTATGTTGTGCCCCAGCGAGAGTCCTACGGGTAGGAAAACTCCCTGGGTTCCCAGTTCTGCGGGCCTGATTCGCCCTCTCGGCACCGAATTCTTCAGGTCGCTTCCTTGGGAAAAGGTTTGAGAAAACCGGGGTCGAATTCCGCCCCGCTGCCCGCAAATATCTCAGCGCTGTCACCGAGGGCGGAGGGTCCGACCGCGGGCCCAGCGCCGGCCGGGAGGCGGGTGAGATTCCAGCTACACCACCCTCTACTCCTAGTTCGCCGCCGCTCCACGTCCCCCGCCTCCAGCGCGGCGGCGCCAGTCCGCCCCGACCCCGCTGTCCCTGCCCCTCGTCCCCTGGGCCCCTCCTCACCCGGAGCTGCGGTGAGCCGCTCTCAACAACCGGAGACCCTGGGAGCGTCCCGCGGCGCACGAACGCGATCCGACCCCTTCAAACCCGACTGCTGCTCGCTGCCAGCGGAGGTTACCGAGGCCGCGGGGCAGGCCAGTCGGCAACGCGCGGACTTTGCTCGCAGCCCGCCCGGCGATGCTCCTTATCGCCCGACCCTCTCCTCCCCCAGCTGCAGGAGGAGGGACCAGGGAGGAGCGTGTGGCTACCAGCCTCCCACAAACGGAGGCAGCTTGGGATGCGAGGGTGCTCAGGCGCACCCTTCACTCTCCCCAGGGCCCGGGGTCCCGAGACCTGGACCTGCGGGTTAACTTAACCCGTCCTGGAATGGACTCAGACAGCTTCAGGGGCGGGCGCTGTTCGCCCCGCAGCAAGCCAGGGTTGCTTGTTTCACTAGATTCCGTCTGCTTGCATCTGCAACTGGTATGCCCTGGGCACTCTGCATTCTGCTGCATTGTAGGGTGGACACCAATTCAAAAATTGTGTAGACTATGCTGTGGATTGGAAGGCCTGCCACCGTGGAAATACAATGCAAGGCAATCAGGGAGAGCAATTATGACGTGGGGGGAAATGGAGAAAGAAGGGCCCATCTCTCAGTTATTTGGGTTTTAACAGAAATTCCCCCTCCGTTTTCCAATGCTTCCCCTTCAGTCTGCTTTTTAAGAAAAGCATATTCATTCAACGTTTTAGTTAGACTCGGGACATAGTTTGAAATTTATGTCTGGCGTTTGCATTTTTTAAATAGTGATGGGGGGGGTAACAAAACTGTAAATGAAGTTTATTTTATTTTTATTCTGAGGACTCCGCAGGAAGAAGACATGGATTACAGCTTCTTTCTCCCACGTATGAGTGCTTTGACCTAGGGCAAATCCTTTATCCTTTCTGTTTCTCAGTAGAAAGATCTTATTGCTAATCAAATTACATTAGTCTGAGTCACCTTATGAGAATGAAATGCAAATGCACATGAAACACTTAGGGTGAGCCTGGCTCATGGGAAACATTCAACACTTATCTAATATTAATATCTATAAAGAAGCAGTGACTTATGTAAACCTAATGGAGGAAAAATTAAATAAAACTGCTTTAGCCTTTTGGAGGATTAGCAGCTGGGAGGAGGAAGAGAGAGAATGGGGGAAAGGTACAGGGATTAAGAAGAATAATTGCTATGTACAGAAATACACAGGGGGATGTTAAGAACAGTATAGGAAATGGAGAAGCCAAAGAACTTCATGCACAACCGATGGACATGAACTAAGGAGAGGGACTGCTGGAGAGAAAGTGGGTACCAGGAGGAGGGGGGCAAAGGGCGGAAATTGGGACAACTGTAATAGCATCATCAATAAAATATACTTAAAAAAACTGTATTAGCCTAATGACATTTTCCTGTACTCCCTGAGATAACCTCCTTGAAACAAATTGCCTCATAATATTAATCTAAAAGGATAACAGATAAAGTACCCAAGAGATCTCTAAAACCCTCTTCCGTTTGGCCTTATAATGAGGTTAAGCAGCATGAGACCCTGCATCGCACTTTAAAGGTTTTGAAAGCAGGACTTGAAGGCAAGTATTTTAATTATTTCTCTCTATGCCAGCTTTATGCCTCTCCCGTCATCATCAGTTCACATTCTCTGAGGCTGTCGGACTGGTTGGCATTTAGCAGGTTAGTGCCTTGAGAAAATACCTAGAGTAGGGTTGCTGTATTGAGCAAATAAAATTACAAGACACCCAGTTCAATTTGAATTTTAGATAAACAACAAAAAGGCTTTAATATATATCCCATGCAATATTTAGAACATACTTTTACTAAAAGTTATTTGTCTTTTTTTATCTGAAATTCAAATTTAACAGGGCACTCTGTATTTTATCTGACAACCTTAGTCCAATGAAATTAATGAAGAATGGGCCTCACATTTCAAAAGAACAGCAAGTCAACCCAGACATACAGATTATAAAGTGGGTCTAATATGGACTTTGCTTTAGTGTTATTCAGTGGAGACATAGAATGTACTTGTGTTTATGAATTGATTCTTGAGCTATTTCTTATCCTTTGATTCTCACTCCCATTCCCCACCAACATAGCAATGCTTATGTACTCTTTAATATGAGCAAAGATGATGGCTCTCTCCTTCAGTCAAAATATTGGATTAAATAATGTGATCAATAGTGTTTCCAAGTAGTTTTTATTAAGGGCCAACTGTATGTCAGGTATCATTTCAAAGATGAATACGACACAGTCCGTGCCCTGAAGGATTATGTAAAATAACAACATAGAGTTCTCCTCCCATGTAAGTAGATGCAGAGAACTGTGGGAGTTCAGAAAGGGAGCTACCGATTGTCCTTGGAATGGGTGGGGGGTCAAAGCTGCCCTGCCTACAGGGGATTCAAGCGTCTCCAATCCAGGTGAGTGAGCAAAGGAGTGAGTTTCCAGGATGACTGATTGGAGTGGTTAAACTGGAGGGGAAAACGAGATTCTATATAACTGAAAGTATGATTGGGCACTTGGAAACCCTTGAGTCTGTTAGAAGGAGACAAAATGCAATAAACAGAAGAATAAATTGCTTAAATTTAAAAAATTAAGTTAAAACTAGGAACTGCAAGAGGGAAAATGTTGCAGGAAAGACATGTGAAAGTGTGATGAAACCTAAAATGGATTGATTTTGTAGCTACTTACTGGGTGGTATCTAAAAATTAGACACTGCATTTAAACCTGAAATCCAAGAATATACTTCTGCAAATGGCCCAGACAAGAAACTGTGATCAGAAAGCTCCACTTAGTCTAATCATGGAAATATTGCTTACTGGTTTTCAAGGTTTAGAATTACCTTATAAACAAGCCAAAGGAGACTTGGTTATGTTACTCGAGAGAATGTGAATATGGCTATTTTTAATGTAATTTTTAAATGGTAAAAGGGGGTAGAAGTGGGGAACAGCCAGCACAGAAAGAAGGTTGGATTACTAAGGGTCTCATTTTAGAAAGTGGAGAATCAAGAGATACTGTCTATAGTTGGTAGCACAGTTAATAAGGTCTGGATACACAGAAACTTTGCAGAGGAGAGAACAGTCCAGGACCTGAATGTAGAAATGTCACTCTATTAGGAGGACCAGGCAAGAGAAAAGATAGGACCAGTGTGCCCATGAGCTAGAAACGAGACAGATAGTGCTAGGATAATATGCCAAGAAATAATAATATAGTATTTTGTTTTCAAAATATGGAGGTCACCACCAGCTATTTAAAAACAGAAATCATTAGAGTAATTCTCTTTGGGGAATTGTACTGGAACTGGGGTGGGCTGAGGTGGGAGAATCTGTCTTTTCTCTTTTGGTTCTTTAGTACTATTTACTTATTTGGAGTATTGCATGATACACTGATGAAATATTTAAAAGTTTTTAAGAATAAGAATTTGTGAAAAAGGAAGGCTTCACTATGACAGTGGCTTTCAAGAATGAGTTTATCAGGAAAGAGGAGATGAAGAGAAGTCTACAGAATGTGAACTGCATGAGCAAAGGCAAAGGGGCTGACAAGACAAACAGAATGCCTTGGGAATGTCTAGTTCTCCGTGTGGCAAGAGCATCGGGTATGTAGGTAGGATGGAGCAGAAGATAAGGATGTGAATGAAGGTGAGATGGGGGTACAATAATAGTTTTCTGAGTAATGCAATAGAGTTTGCACTGTGAGCTTTTTGAGGACAGAAACTACATCACTTTTATTTGCCTGTATCCAATAAGGAACATAGCACACAGTAGTTGCTCAATAAATTGTTTTCTGAATGAATAAAAACTATCTTGGGGGCAATGGGGAGCCAGTAAAGTTTTTAAGCAGAGCAGTTGTGTTTCTTATTTTTGGAAGATAGTTTTGTACTGAAAAAAAAAGATGACTTAAGATTGGAGAAACCAAAAGGCAGGGGGTAAATTAGGAGGCCATTAGGAGAAAGGTGATCTAAAACAGGATAGTGACAGTGGGAACTGAGATTGGAAGACCTACCTGAGAGAGATTAGCAGGAAATAGGTGCAAGGATGAAGAAGCGGGAGGGGTCACAAGTGGCCCTGAGATTCCTGACTGAGGAAAACCAGGTAGATGGTGGGCCATTAACTGAGAAAACAAAATAGGGAAAAGAAACAGGTTGGAAAAGTGAATTAATAAATGCAATTCTGTGCATATTGAATTTGAAAGACCTGAGGATGAAATTTGAAAAATTGCGAGTCTACAAGTATGAATGGCTTATGAAATCTGTGTGCTGAGTCTAGACAAGTATGTTTTTTTTTTTTTAGCAAAATAGAATATAATCAATTTTAAAGTGTATCACATGTGGTAAGGTTAAGTGTTTTTTCTTAGAACTTTCATTTGCACATCTTTAGGTATGTATGTAACTGATACAAAATGTATTTTCCACCGTATGTCAAAAATGTTAGATCTCCTGCTCTTGGATACCAGGTTGAACAAGTAGAGTGTAGAGTCGTCTTACACCTGTTTGGCAGAGCCACCTGTGTGCATTTCTTTCCCACTCTATTCAGTAACTTCCCATTGAGAGCTAGAAATCAGGCATAGTGGGGACTTCATGCCACAGAAATCAGCAAACACTAGAAAACGAGACTTTTTCCCCCCGTAGTGAGCTAGCACACCTCTGGGAGGAATCGCCTTATGGGTAGTTAGTTATGAAGGTCTGAAACCCAGTATAGAGACCTGGGGCAGAAGATATTTGGAAGTGAAAATGCTCAGAGTGCATGAGATTGGCCATTGAGAGCTTTTGGAGAGAGCAGAGGTGGGTGATAGAATTCAAAATAACATCACATTCAGGGGAGGTAGGAGAAAATAGGAGCCAGTGAATGAAATTGTGAAAGGTTGTTCAAAGTGATGATGGAGAATGGGAGAGACAAGCTCTCTAGAAGTTAAGGGAGAAAAAGGATTTTAAAAGGTAAGTACAATTAGCACTGTTGATTAGGGTGCGTGAAGACCAAAGAAAGCACTATGGGATTTAGCGATTAGAAGGACAAAAACCAATTTTAATTTTTAATCCCTAAAACCAACTTTAGTATAATTGAGGAATAAAGGGAGAGAATCAGGAAGGAGTAGAGATGAGGACACAAGGACTCTATA